TGAATTATGCTCTTCCAACTCCTTATTTGGACTAATTAGCCTTTTGACAGCAGCATACACCAGAGCATTTTGTGCAATATTGATTTTAAAAAAATAGGTGAAATGTCGCACTTTTACTCAATTTCAGTGCGCGACAACTCAAAACAGTGAAAACACTTCATAAAAATGTCATCGTCAAAAAGACAAAAGAGAGGGGTGGTGGGGGGTAAGTTTCCTATTGTAGGGTTAATTTTTTCCCCTCAAATATAGAGGAAAATTGAAACGAGCACTGGCTCACTTAACAGATGGTTTTCAGTCTGTCTAAATCCAAAGTGCTATTTCAGCTGTATGGATTGGAACAAAGCCGATGCTGTTTAAATTGAGTGAAAAATGTCAGATTTAGTCTCCATGGTGTTTGAGCATTGTGGGGTTTTTTCCCCTTAAAGGAAAATGTCACTCCAACAACATGTATTTAACATGAATCATTTATTTATTTAAAGGGAAAAAAATCCCAAATCAACAACGCATAGGTGGATTCCGGTTATGAGTGACGCCTGGTATTTCTTAGTTTCATATGGCAGCTCACATATGACTGACTCCACATTGGGCAACAGATTAATAAATATAAGTAAATATAAGTTGCCTCGGAGATTTGCCCATTCAAGATGCTCTAAATGTCTCTTCGATTAGGAGTAAAAGAGGTTTATCCGGTTATGTGGATGGCAGTTTTAAAAAAAAGGCAGCTCCTTCTCTCAAAACAAAACACAACTGTTGACATGAGTGAGTTAAATGAAATTGGAGCTGCAATTATCAGCTTAACAGAGTTTCCTGTCATGTTGGAAAATTAGACCTGGTACAAGTGTACTGGGGTTAGACCCCCTCCACCACTGCCACCATCACCACTCACCCACCCGCCCCTCCTCATCAAAATCATTACGCATTTCCTCAGAGGACCACCTCCACAAATATGCAATTACGGCCTTGGCTTTTACTGCGCTCTGCTCGGTAAACACGCTCCGGGCATGTGGAGGAGCACATGCCCATGTTTTAGAGAAACTCTTTTCTTGGATGGATAAACAAACGAGGTCGGCAGACCAATCCATAAACAAACAAACAAAACAAAAAATTTAAAAAGGGAACAATTTCAACGTGATGTGCCGGGGAGCCATGTGTGCCTTCTGGCAGGGAGGGGGCGCCATGACAATACTTCGCATCCGAGTCCAAATGTAAAACCCTGAGAGGATGGAGGATGAGCTGGTATTTGGGTATTAGGAGTCGCGCAGTTGTGTGGCAGGTGTGCGGGTGCGCCTTATGGTCTGCATTGGTCACTTCAGTCCTCATGTGCGCAGCTCCTGTTACAAAGTGGTGTTTTTTTTCTCTTTGGGAAATACCTTTGACCACTGTGGTGTGCACTTGATGCTGCCTCCCAGCTGCTGCCCCTGAGTGTGTGTGCGTGTGTGTGTGAGAGAGAGAGCGAGAATGTGAGTGCATCACACAAACACTCAGACTCACACATGCACACTTAAAGCTGTCCTCATGAGTTATGTTTTCTGTCCTTGTGCTCCAGAACAAAGCAGTGAATCATGCTGTTTGCATCCCCCCCACCCCATCTCTTGCCACACTGGGTGATGCAGCAGACATGTGTGCATACCTCACACTCTGCCAAACAACAACTTAGGAGGTAAAAGAAAACTCTACAAGGTCATTATTTCCCCTCCATAGTTCAAACACTGCCACATACTTTCCACAGCCCGGCTGGAGCCAGCAGACTGTTTGTGCCAGGACCGGGGCTCGGCCTGTATGGTGGGTCTGTACAGGGCAGGCTGGTACCCGCTGACCCCTGCCCTCTCATTAGTGGGACGTGGAGCAGCGGAGTACCGTGCTCCCCAGGTCATGTTACATATGGCTTGCAGTCTGCTGCGCCGCATTAAATGTCAGCTTTGAAACCATCTGAAAGATCAGAGGTCAGTGTTTTTAATAAGGCCAGAGTTCTGGGGGAGTTCCCTCCTTTTTAACTGCTCGCCTGAGTATGTTTCACGTTGCGTGTTTGAAATTGTGGACAAAATGATCCACTGCACTGTTTGGTTAGGTGTTGGGGATGTCCTGGGGTTTTTTTTCTTTGTTTTTGCCCATAAAAAAGCATTTTATTTATGAAATCTTTAAACATTCTGCTGTAGAAATCCAAACACGCCGTCTTTGTGGCAGTGCTTATTTTCCTTTTCTGCTGAATTCTTAGGCACAATACACAAAGGTGGAATTTGGAGTTTTCTGTTCCCCCTCTCCACCCTCCTCTCCCCTCCCCGTGAGATCCACAGACTATGGGATCCTGCTGCAAATGGGATATTGTTCTGGGCTCCAACAAAGCTGTTTTCACCCTCTTCAATATTACAGGAGGAGCTACCTGATACCTAACAATCAGCTAATCCACTGCCCATGGCAACGAGGTCACCTGTGCACAGGTAACTTTATCCAGGTTGCCTGCTTCTCTCTCCCTTTCCCGATAGTCCCTGCCATTTTTCTTCTCCCCCTCTCTGTGACTCAACAGTGAGCACAGACAAACAGCCTCTGTTTATTTAGGTCATCAGCTAGATCATATATAACTCCCGTAGCCAGGATTCCCCGAGCAAGGACGACTCCTATAATCCAGCACAGACACACACTGCAGAAAATAAAAATCCCCTGCTGTTCATTCATTTGTCAAACTTTGTCTCCATCTTATCTCTCCAGTGCTGGTTTGGTCAGGTGCCCATTGCGCGAACAAGTATTGGCTTGTGATTCATGAATTCACAGCGAATCCCCTCAAGCCTTGAGAAGAGCCTCGGCTCTTTTCTGGATCGACTCTGTGTCTGTGAGTGACAGCACCTCAGATTCATTCTTCCATATGCTGAAGTTAGGGAGTGGGGGATTTGGCCTTCGCTCAGGGAAAAGACCATTGGATTGGACTGAGCTGTGGGGAGCTGCAGACCCCCCACCCAAAAGGAGCTTTACCTCTGGAAATCTCATTGCTGTTTATTTGAATTACAGAGACTGAGATGAGAAAAGGAGGCCTAATGAACTCCAGGTTGCCAGGCATGTGCAAACGATCACTGCAGGTTTGCAGAGAGCTGCACCAGGCTCGCTGGATTAAAGTGTGCCAGTTCACCCCTCCCCAACCCCGTATCCTGCACAGGACTCCAAAACACTGAGATGAGATGTTCTTTTTGTCCATCATAAACTTCCATTTATCTCAGACATGCTGTGACGAAAGAGAATTAAATAACGCTATTAGTCATCTTCTAGAAAGAATTAAAAATGCCTGTTTTCTGTTTTTATAAATATAAACTTTTATTGCAGTATGGAGATTTAGAAAAATACATTCACATAATTTCAGATAACAAACATATAATTCAAACTAAGATTAAAAAACAAAAAGCAACAAAGACACAAAAAAGACTATCTTTTTCCCACAACTCGTTTTTGGTTTATGACATTAAAGCACTGAGGATACTTTCACTGAAATGCCCACTCAAATGAGAGGATCATGTCACAGATCCTCAAGAAAAGTGTTACGAGGCCACTAGCATGTAGATCCACTGATAAATATGCATGGTGCGAGTTGGCTGTGAGGTTGAAATGTCCCGCTTATGGTCACGTATGAAAGCGAGAACTCCTGCTGTGAAAAGCAAATGGGCTCTGCACTCCTGTGTCTTTCCCTCAGTTGATACCCGACTAATGTCCCGGCGACGGTGACAGTGGGAAATCTCTGAAGCTGCGTGGCAGCGCACGAGCCACAACAGAGCTTCATTTTATGTTAGTCACAAGACAAAGATTAAAAAAGTACAAGGCACAAGTGTCCCAAACACGATGATGCCACGCAAAGAGAAATGACCACAATCTCTCTCTGTTTTTAAAGTGGGACGATTTAAAAAACAAAAACACAATTTGTCCACTTAGTCACGTCCATAACTTCTGTCCCTTTGTTCCTTATACTTTTCGAAAGCATACGTGATGTTTGCACCTGGTTTTTACAGAAAAAATATAATTCGTGATCACTGACATCATGGAGATGGGTCATAATGGAAGATGATACAGCACGGTGTCACCACATCAAGTTGACATAGTATTAGCTGCAGCATTAGAAAAAACATGTGACGTCCAGCGTGCGAGCTGACCTTTTTGATCATCGTTCATATGCTGGTCTCACAGGTTGATGATGAGGCTTGAAATAGGAGCCATTGCCGAGAGGGTTGTGCGTTTGTTGAGGTGTGTCACACATGACAAAACCCTCAACACAAAGGCTGTTTGAAACACATCCGTTGTATTGTCACTATGGTAGTGCAAATGCCCAAACAGGCCAATGCCATTGTGTATGTTAAGTAGCAGAAAGGCACATTTTGTCTTAAATGTTGTCCCATTTTTGAACCCTCCCAGCTCATTTGGTATGAGTTAAAGCACAAAAAGCTGCACTTTTTAGTACTGATTTGTGAGGCTTTTGTAGACAATCTAAAGTGCTTACTGAAGGACACTCCCCCACCCCCAAATCAGCAGCTTTGTGTGTTTAGTGACCTATTCTCTTTATAAACGCGTGTGCAGTCCTTCAGTAAAGCTGTTGCTGTTTAACTGACCATTATCATAGAGGCTCACTTGCTGTTCCCCCTACAGCATGACCTTTTTGGTTTGACCCAGATGACGCATTTAGTTTGGAGGAACATCCTTGTCACATGACTCGAGGCTTTCCAGCACCTGCTTCTGCAGATCAAATCCACTCAACAGGAAGTAGCAGGTGCAGTCTATAAAAATGCACATTTAGACACGGCTTAAACGCTTACAGCAACGTCTTCTGTTAGCACATCACCATCGTAATGTTTCGTCTTAGGAAGCTGGGCTTTTAAAACATGTCACAGGCTTTTTTTTTATTATTATTATTTCGTGATAAACTGATAAAGCCCACCTACTGGGCTCCTCTCTGACTTGAGTGCATTGTAAAAGTCAAATGAATGCAAATAATTTAACATTGAAAAGGAAATGAATGTTTTTTTTAAAAAAACAAAAACAAAAAAACAACCCACACACACGCACACAAAAAGGAGTAAAAAGATTCATCATATCACTGCTTGGGCGGACTTGAGTGCTTCTGCAAAAGGGAGAGGTTTGAGGTTAAAGGTCAGCCATGTCCTCATCCATCTGCACTGTCTGTAGTTTGGCCAGCTCCTTTCCCTCCGTAGCCTCCATCTCCCCACACATTGCCCGCACCATTTCGTTCATGCTTCCTGAACCCGAGCCATCCACCTTGCTCTCTGAAAGGTTCATGTAGTTGTTGTTCATGCCGGGGCCCATCAGGTGTGAGGACGGTGCCCCTCGGACCTCGTGGCCCCCAAGGTACTCTGTGGGCTGGAGGTGGTGGTTGCTCGGTTCTGTTTGAGCCATCAGGGGTGTGCTGACAGTGAGGGTGGTGTAGACCTCTGAGTCCGGGCTGGATGAGCTGACGGCAGTGACCTCGACGGTTGAGGCGGGACCTTGGCTGGAGGAAATCTCTTCTGAACTGGAGTAGTTGATTTGACCACTGGGGTCCAAGTGGAGCCCGTGATGGTACGAGGAATAAACACCTCCCTCCAGAGGCTCCTTCTTGATGGATGGCTGGCCGCTATTGCTCATGCTGTAGAGAACCGTACTGTGGTGCAAAGATGCCATGGTCAGTTTGTCCTGCTGCTCGAATGAGTCGCCACTGGAGGAACTCACTGCTACATTATTCAGAGCCATGGTACCTGTGGTGATACAACAATAGATCAATACATATATCTTTCTCCAGTTTGGCTGCAGTAGATCCCCTTCCCGCTGCCTGATCCCCTCTTCGGTTCTTGCAGTATTATGCGTTCCATTTACAGCAGGCCTTGGCCGCAAAATTGCTGTTGTGTGTCTTACACACTTTGAGGACGTTAAGATCGACCCTGCAGTTGCACCAGAGAACAAATGAATAACGCTGCCAGAACTCAAGAGAAAGCTGCAATTTTCTGTTTTTTTTTCTTCTTCTTCTAATTATTCATCCTGGTTTACATTCTCTGCTTCATGTCAAAGTAAGTGCTGTAATGGCTTATTCCCTGTTAGTGCATTTCATGGCCTCTGATCGTCTGCAACATATTTCCCCTCCCCTGCTCTGGAGATCAAGAGCGTAATGATGATGAGTGATGGTGACTTCAGAACTTGTTTTTATCCATCTCTGGGGTTTTAAAAGGACCACCACTTCT